GAGGTTGAACTCCAAGTATCATTCATCTACTAAAATAAACTCGTGACTACATCAAAATTTGCCCGTCGACCAAATTGTAAAACGAAAGAAAAGATGCAAATCTTACCTTTCACCGGAATCAAATCCGGCGCAAGCAAAGCCAAAGCAGCCACAACCTCCTTCTCCCCCACTGTCGGCCGAAAGCACGACCGCCGTCGCCTCCCCCTTCTTCTCCACCACAGCCGCCGCCTCCCCAATTCCCCTCGCCTTCCTACGGCTCGTATGGACAGTGGCTGCTCCGTCGTGCCCAGAGTAGCCATATCCACCCGCAACGCGGCACCCATCAAAGCTCCCACGGCTGCTGCAGCCCATCCGTGGCAAGAAATGGCGCCCCCCGAGCTCTAATCTTGGTCGAGGAGATGAGGGCGAGGACAGCCGAAGCTCTCCACGGCCGGGCTGGCATGAGGAAGCAAAAATCGTCGTAGATTTCGAGAGGTGCGGTGGCGGTGGCGGTGGCAACGGTGGAAGGGCGGGCGCGCGTGAAAATCTCCTTCCCGTCAAAACATGCGTGGGATAGAGGAAACCACAAAAGAGGAGGGGGAAAACTGAAGATTGAGAGTCATGAGGCGACTCCGAGCAAAAAAAGTTGCAGGCCAACCGGACATGCGGTACTTGTTTGGAACGGTTCTTCGCCTATATGTTGACGGTTATTTTGCGGGCCGGGCGACGGTTATTTTGCGGGCCGGGCGGATATAGCCCCTGTGGTAGAGTTGCTCTAGAATAGCAAAGCGCTAATCGCATCTCTTCACAATACTTCCACTCAGCCCTCTTCTTCTATATTTAAAAGCCTCCGCAAAACATAGCAGCATCAGCATTCAGCAAGCTGCTTGAGCAAACCCAGCAAAGCTCACTCTAGTGATCACTTGGCAACCCAGGAAGCGAGGAAGCAGCCATAGCACCCATGATGCTTCGCATGCAAAGCCTGTGCCCCCCTCGTCGGGTGTCGGTGGACGGCCCAATCATCGTCGGCGCCGGTCCCTCCGGGCTCGCCGTGGCGGCCAGCCTCGGCGAGGAGGGCATGCCATTCCTCATGCTGGAGCGCGAGGACTGCATCGCCTCGCTCTGGCAGAAGCGCACCTACGACCGCGTCAAGCTGCACATCCCCAAGCACTTCTGCGAGCTCCCTCGCATGCCCTTCCCGGAGAGCTACCCGGAGTACCCCACCCGCCGCCAGTTCATCGACTACCTCGAGAGCTACGCCGCCAGGTTCGACATTAAGCCCGAGTTCAACACCACCGTGCTCTCCGCCCACTACGACAACACCTCCGGACTCTGGCACGCGCAGGCCACCCGCGCGGGCGGTGCCCAGATGGAGTACATCGGCCGCTGGCTCGTGGTCGCCACCGGCGAGAACGCCGTCAACGTCGTCCCGGACATCCCGGGCCTCGGCGGCTTCTGCGGCGAGGTCACCCACGTCAGCCACTACAAGTCCGGCGAGCCCTACAGCGGGAAGCGCGTGCTCGTGGTCGGCTGCGGGAACTCCGGCATGGAGGTCTCCCTCGACCTCTGCGACCACGGCGCCCACCCTTTCATGGTGGTGCGCGACGCCATGCACGTCATTCCGCGCGAGGTGCTCGGCAAGTCCACTTTCGAGCTGGCCATGCTGCTCATGGCGTGGCTCCCGCTCTGGATCGTGGACAAGATCATGATCTTCCTCGCCTGGCTCGTCCTCGGCGACCTCGACAAGCTCGGCATCCACCGCCCGGCTGTTGGCCCGCTCACGCTCAAGCACACGCAAGGCCGCGCCCCGGTGCTCGACACCGGCGCGCTCGCCAGGATCAGGTGCGGCCAAATCACCGTCGTCCCCGGCATCACCCGCTTCACCAACTCCGACGCCGTGCTCTCCGATGGCACCGTCGTCCATGTCGACGCTGTCATCCTCGCCACCGGCTACAGAAGCAATGTGCCACAGTGGCTCCGGGCAACGGACTTCTTCGGCAAGGACGGCTACCCAAAGACGGAGTTCCCCAACGGCTGGAAGGGCCAGTTTGGCCTCTACTCCGTGGGCTTCGCACGCCGCGGCCTCTCCGGCGCCTCCGCCGATGCCGTGCGCATCGCCAAGGACCTCTGCAAGCTCTGGAAGGAGGAGAGCAGGCCCGCGAAGAAGGCCGGCCGCCCGTGCTATAGGAGGTCTATCTCCGTCGTCTTGTAATCTATCTAAGCAAGCTTTCAGTCTGGTTTTTCCTCATGTAACTTGGGTCCTGGGATTGTGTGGAGAGGGGATTTTTTTAGCATCTACGTACTCAGGTGTCCCCCCTATATATCTGTAGTGTACCAAAGATCAGGAGTGTGAAGTCCAGGGATACACACGATCTGACAATGTTTTGCAGGCTTGCAGCACACCAGGTTAAACGCCCACACTAAACATAATGTACTACCATCCATGACGAGAAGCCCATGCGTGCTACGGAAATTTCCTTTCCTTTCACCAAAGCTACCAATGAAATTTGTTAGTGCACTTGTCTTCAAACCACATGGTTGTTTAAGATGGTTGGATTCCAAATATACTACTTCCCTGTTTGAATCAATGTTTGGATAAAGATCCTTCCAAAAACCCTTTACTTCAGTGGGCACCTCTGGTTGATCTGATGTGTCTACAAATATGACGATAGAAATTAATACATTGAAGTATAAAAAATGCAAAACCACTACTCATCGGTGGCGGCGGACTACTCGTCATCGTCGGCGGCGGCAGCGGCGTCATGCTCCTCCATCCTGGGATACTCCAACTCCGTCCCGGTGGTGTGCTCCTCCTTCCCCTCCATGCTCTCGATGTCGTAGTCGTCGAGAGTGTCGTCCAGAATGGGGGGCGGCGAGTGCACACCCAAATCGAAGCAGGAGAGGTGACCTCGTCACCGGAGGAGGGGATAGCCATGGCCCTGTTGAAATATGCCCTAGAGGCAATAATATTGTATTATTCATTTCCACATTTATAATTAAGAGTTTAGATTCTATGCTACAAGTGCTATGATCCGAGCAAATAACAATGAACTCAGATTAGAAAGGCATGAGGAGTTTGGACCACAGGGGAAGCTTGCGGGACTAGCGGGCCTTGCCGGCCCAACCAGCCCAAGGAGCGTGGTCGGTGCGCACCCTAAGGCCGACTTACTAAAACCTTCCCATATAATTTGTGGCTGCCAAATGGGAAATGAAGTATTTACAAATTAACCAATCATAACAGTAGCATCCGAGTCACATTCATAGGTTGGTTCGAGTATTGTAATCACACACAGAAAAGGTCGTGTAGGAGATGATTTAGCATTATCATTAGCACCTTGTATATTCATTTGTTTCCGATTGCAATACAAAACACATTTGTGTCACTATGACATAAATGTTGGGCAGATAAACATACCTGTCCCTATGACAGAAATTATAGTGCCAGAAAAAGAAGTGGCATGCACGGCCAGATAAACATACCTGTCCCGTTCATTCCCTGCTCCAGTACACACAATGTTGGGCAGACAGAACTCAATAACACACGTGTCACCTTCTGATTCCACACCAGACGTTTCACCAAATGACAACATGAATTCACTACAACAAAGGAATAACAAGGTTAGAATTGCCAATTTCGCAGAGATGGTACCCCAACCAAAGTACACATGGAGCTGAAATAAGAAAGGACAGATTACATGCAGCACTCACGCGACAATGTGATTCCAGTTTATAAAACTTAAGAAGGTGACACAGACGGTTCCAACAATAACCATGTTATCCAATTGTATAGTACTCCCTCCGTCCCAAAATAAGTGACTCAACTTTGTACTACAAATGCATTATCTGGGAGTAGACTTCCATTTTTCTGAGAATAAGGTCCAACTGCTTTGTCACTACTTTGCAGAACTAAACAAGCAAATAAAGACATGACACTTTTAATCAAGGACCAAGTCTTGCAGGACCATTGATAAAAATAAGAATTTGAGAAAGTTGGTTCTGTAATAGCTTCTTCAACTCCGATGCTCGCAGTCCAGAACAACTAAAAATATGCACACAGTACAGTGCCAGGTAGAAGAAACACGGTGCAAATCTGTTGGATATTTACCCTACAGGATCGATCACATCAAAACACATGACAAATACGCACACGAAAAACTGATAGCCAAGGGCCCTTGTCATGCCTTCTTTCTCTTTATTTTCTCATTTTCTCACCGTGTTACAAAATGCACGGCCGGGCTGTCTATATATATACCACTTTCACGAGGCCATGACCGACCAGACAACCTGACCCTATACGTGTATGACCCCTAGTCCTACACGGACACAACCAAAGCTAACCTAGCATACCTACCCGAACTAGGACTAGTACTCGTACATGACACCTAGAACAACTTTGCTTTCCTAATCTAATTACCGGCGAGCTTGATTTCCTTTCACTAATCTTAACAGAACAGTGTACGGAACATATTGTGGACTACACTTCTACTAATGTGTACGGAACTAGAGAATTGGGATGATTCTGCATGTACTAACCAATTTGTTTTGTACAGGATGGAATACACAGATCGACTGCCGATCAGACAGACAAAAAGGAAATAATTGCTTTGACTTCTTAGGAGGTTAGGAAATGCAAGGGAAATGATGGGTACAAAAGTGTATGTTACCTTGTATTAGTCTTTGATTATTGGAATGACTCCTTTCAACTTGCGGCATTGCCTCATTAGCTCCTCACTGTTGCCACCGTCGACATCTAAAACTCGCAGGGAATTTGGGAGGCTATCTGGCAGTGATCTCAGAGCGGGACAAAAACGGATCCTTAATTCTTGCAGTGAACTTGGGAGAATATCTTTGGGCACCGATTCCAGGCAACAGGCTTGAATATGTAATTTTTTCAGAGAACATGGGAGGCCATCCTCAGGCAGAAACTTCCAGGCGTCACAAAGACCGATCGTTAAGTCTTGCAGTGAACTTGGGAGACTATCCTTGGGCAGCGACTCCAAGGAATGGCAGCCCCAGATCCTTCAATTTTGCAGAGAATTTGGGAGGCTGACATTGGGCAGCAATTTGAAGGAATTGCAGAAGTGGATTACCAAATTTTGCAGAGAAGTTGGGAGGTCCTCCGGCAGCGACTGGAAGGCCTGACAGCTGTAAATCCTTAATGTCATGAGACTGGAAAGTCTATGTAGTCCTGCTGGGAGGCACTGCAGCTTGCCGAACTCGACAAAATTAAGCACCTGAAGTGAGGTGAGGAGCTGAAGGGCATCCTCTTGCTCCTTAGTGAAGCGCTCCATCTCATGATCGCGAGCAAGGTACAAACAGGTGATGGAGGAGGAGAGGAGGCTGCAGATGGGCACAACAAGGAAGCCTGTGAGGTCATCTGTGTCTAGCTTCTGAAGTTTGCAGTGTGTGTGCATCCGTGTGGGCTCCAAACTGGCGGATAATTTGTGGGTGTCATGAATGTATAGTTCTGTGAGGCAGCGATGGGTAAGGAGAAGCCATGTGCATGATGAGAGGAACTTGGGGCAACCACGTATGTGGAGGGAACGGAGGTCTTGAAGCGAACTGGTGAGTAGGCTCAGCTCTGGGCACTCATAGATGTCCAATTTCTGTAGATGAGAAGACGGGAGCAAAAGTCCAGCTTCTCCTCCCACTGCTATTTCCTCCCCTACTCTTATCCTCTGCTGCTGCTCCACCACACCAACACTTGTTATCTTTTCACAATCAGTTATTCCCAGCTCGCTGAGATATTGGAAATGAGAAAGCAACTGTGTCAATTCCTTCTCACGAGCGCCACAAGAACTAATCCTGAGGCGTTCAATTGGTAACTCATATATGATATCACTCTCACTGTCAGTCTGCAACAAGACATTGCTATTACCCGAGTAATCTATTTCGAGCGACTTCAGAGATTTTAACTTCTGGAGGTGATCCAGTGGCAGAGGAGGACAATTCCTAATCTTCAGCACTTTTATATCAGCTAGCTTAGAGAATGCCAACACATTCCAGAACATGCCATCTTCACCATCCTTACCCGTAATTGTTAAACTTGCCCCCGAACTGTAGCCCTTTGAGTAATTCAGCTGTTTTAAACCAGATCCTACCTGCTCTATCTTGGCAGAGCATGCGGCAGGGTTCCAAGGGACAGGAGGCAACGACAATAATTTTGGGCATTCTGTAATCTCAAGTTCCTGTAATCTAGGAAACCAGGTCATGTTCGCCTCTTGCTCTGATTGACAGCATGAAAGTGGCAGCTCCACTAGTTCAGAGCAATCTTTAACAATGAGAACTTCTAGCTGAGGGAACAAACGACAAGTGTTATTTTCAACCCATTTTCTCAACCTTGGTATCTTAACTAATTCTAGCCTTCTCAGATTTTGAAAGCTTTGACTTGGGATAAAACTTTGATGCTCTTCACCATGCTCACCAACAGACCACAACTCTCCTAGAGGTGGAAGAATTGTCCAACCTACATCATGCAGACGAAGAGATTCCAAATTTTTAACCGAGAGTTTCCCACCAAGCCATGACGGGCAAGTTGTGCCTCTATGCCCTCCAATGTGCAGATCTAGGAGATCGCAATGAGGTTTGAGACTTTCAAGAATATGTTCTTGCACAGAATGTATATCATGTCCATAAGTACCCCACTGTAATACTAGCTTCTCTAAGTGGATTCTGCGTATCAGTTTTGCTTCATTTGCTTCTTCCTTCCGTTCAACATTCTCAATGTTATGTATTCTCATTAACCCACCGAGCTCTATCAATTGTCCTATCTGCCTTAATTCAAAACCGGTGCCTTGGACAAGAAAATGGCGTAATTTTACAAGGTTGCTCATTGCTCTGAGAACACCAATGTGGACATTGCAGCGTTGAACATCTAGGATCCTCAGGTGATAAAATCTTGGTATTTTGTTGTCCAAACATAATTGTGCAAGATATCCCGTTATCCTTAGGTAGCGAAGATGGACAAATCTCGGAAGGCCGCGGAACACATCCTCCAGACTATAATTATAAGATGCCTCAGACAAAAGAATAACACGAATGGATTTTGCTTCTGCAAACAAATCACCGAAAGTCTTTGCAAAGCTTCCATGGAATTTTCCAAATAACATCACAGTTTGTAGATTTTCAACTTTCAGCTTTTCATGTAATGTACTCAAGTCCCTCTTAAAATCCTCAAAGGTCATTTTATCATTGACATCTCTCTCATCTATAATGACAGACAAATGACGAACAGACGGGGAAGATTGTGCATATCTCACATTAGAACTAGATATGGTAAGACAATCTGATGATGAAACCTTCACTGCCAACTCATGCAATAGGTCATGCACAACATAACAAGGGCTGCCATCATCTTTTCCATTCTTCTTGAAAAAACCACAATTAACCAAGTCATTTAAATAACACAGCCCAACATCTTCAAGTGTTTTCCTTTCACATGTATCCAGAATATCAAACCCTATCCATAAGTGAACCAACTCTTTGCTACCAAACTCATAATCTTCAGGAAACAAACCACAATAGGAAAAACACTTTTGTAGATGGAAAGGGAGATAATCATAGCTAAGCTTTAGAGCTGGCATAATGTCATAGTTGCTGGTTTGAAACTCCCATTCTTTGCTTTCCAGAACTCTTGTCCAATGGTCCAATGTAAGCTGGTCTCTTAGTAATCTACCTACAGTTTTTGCTGCAAGAGGAAAACCCTTCAACTTGACCACTATTTCTCTGCCAACATCAAGCAATCCAGGATGGTTTTTCCATGACTGTTGGTGACCAAATACATATGCTTCAAATAGATGCATAAAATCTTCAGTTTCTAACTGACCCAGGTTTATCGAGTAATCAACTGTTTTTATCATTGTTGTGGTCTCTAGAATGCGAGTAGTGACTATAACCATATTACCTCTTGCCTCTCCTTTTCTGAAGGGAGCTAACAGTTTTTTCCACTCATCTTCGTGATATGTCCACACATCATCCAAGACCAGCAAGAACCGCTTATGCTTTAACCTTTGTTCGATGAGCTCTTCCTCAATAGTATTTTTCATCTCACCATGGACCTTTGGGATTTGTTTCACAATCTCTTGTGCCAACTTATTTGCATCGAAACTCAGAGACACACATACCCAAATCATAACATCAAAAGAGCTCTTCACTTCTTGATATACATGTTGTGCCAAAGTCGTCTTCCCAATACCTCCTGGGCCAACAATATGAAGCATGGTGAGTCCATCGGCACAATATTTTCCATGGGTAATGCCCTCTACAATATTCTTTTTCTCGGTATCCCTCCCACACAACTCTGGCTCTATTATTGCTGGGGTAGTTTTCAGTCTGTTTCTAGCAATGCTGCCTTGGGTAGGTTTGCGGAGCTCTAGATCAAGAATTTCCTTCACCTTAGCACAAATGGGATCTAGCTGTTGTACAATGTGTGCCATCTGTTTAGACATTTCCACACGATTAAACTGCAGGTTTTGTGCCTCATCATCTTCTTGGTCGTCAAGCTCACTCCCACTAGCATCACGCAAGCATGAGGGGAGCCTGAATTTGTTGGCAACCGCTCTAGCGGTGTGCCGCACATTGAGACCGAGGTTATGGATGGAGCCCCTGGGATGGTTATCAACGGCATTGTAGGTGCCGTTGAGCTTGTCTTGGATGTGGAAGTAGTCCAGCTCATCAAGCACGTCGTCTGCCGCGTCCGCCAGCTGCTGCAGCATTTGCAACAACTCCTTGAGTGCTGGGTTGGTGATGTCCCTGTCGTGCGCGGTGTAGAGTATCCCCTGCGCACGCAGCAGCTCCCCCTTGAGGGCGCTGATGTTGGGGCCAAGACTGTTGCTGGCCGCCCAGTTCTCCAACAAGCCATCCGAAACAGGGGCCAGCGCCTTGCCTACCACCGACAAGGCCGCACTGATGGCCGCATTCATCCTCACACCCCCTGCTGACAAATGTGTTTGAGATCCCGCTGAACACGGGAAGAGGAATGCGCTCGCAGTTAGTTACTATAGCAAATAGCAATCCTACTTTTCCCCCAAAAAGGGAAAAGGTTCACTTACACTAGCCAGCAGTAGGTGTTGACACTTGAGCTCTTGCAGAGAGGTAGGATTGCAGAGTCAGTCAGAGAAGGGCAACCGAGTGCATAGACAGAGCGGTCGGCGTTCAGCCCTCATTTCTAGCTAGTAGCTGCAAAACCCATTGGCATCTGCCAAATCAGCCGAGTACACCCGAACCTTTGGATTGAGATACTAGTAGCCGACCAATACGTACCTTACCTGATGTTCCTACTCAAAGACGAATGGTGATTCGTCGGACGGCGCGGTGGTGGCTCCGGTGAGGGGATGGCGGAGCTACGACGAGGGGACGGCCGCAAGCACCTGCATCTGGATGGCGTTGGCCTCACCAGATCTGGCTAACCACGAACGAGCCTGGACAGGAGCAAGGCTAAGGAAGGACGTAGGCGACCACTGCGGGCCGCGGGGGAGGAAGACGAGTGGCTCGATTGTGCTCCTGCTCCTGCGAGGTGAGAAATTCAATGGCGGGCGGAGAAGAGGGAATGGGAATCGATGAGGGAAAAGGCAGGGAGTGTAAGTGGCGACTCCCTGTAGTTAGTTTATGTAGCGCGTCCCCTGCGTGAGAAGAGAAGAGCAACGTTGCTGATGACCACACATTCGTATCACTCGAAATTTGAAAAAATGGATTGTCCAACTAGATCATCAATGCCTGATGTAGGCAAAAGTCAAATCTTGCGAGCATGCTGGAGAAATGGAGGAGACCTCTTTGAATAGTGGAGAGGGAGCAGAAATGTCCATGTGCGTTTCGAGCCTTTGTTTCTGATCCATGCTGTGACAGACTGCAGTTGAATCTGACCATCCCTTGCCGCGGCAGCTGCAAGGCCAACTCCAACATGTCATCCAGACGGACATCCGTTTTGTCTAGATTTTATTCGTTTGGTCAGGCAAAATGATGGCGTCGGGCCTTTTTTTGGATGCGTCGCCGGTGCACAATAAAATACACAAAGTTTATAGCCAAATTTAAATTGTCACGATACATCAAAAGAAAATAAAAAAAATGAGCGGATATATCTACTGGTTGTCAATGTGATTTCGCATGTGCTCAACTAAGTTATTTTGGAGTTGCATATGAGTTTGCCAATCACGCATTTCATGATAAAACTGGGTGAATTGTTCAAACGTTGACGGTTCTTCGTGCTCAGGCACAACATTTCACCCTGAAATTGGAACCCTTGGTCATAGATGATGTAATCACGCTTATCCTATATTATCATGTTACTACATTATCACACAAGCGGCCATCGCCTCACAAAGCTTGTCGATGCTCCATGTCAGTGCATGGTGTCGAACGATAGCTCATCGAGATTGAAACACACCAAAAGCACGCTCCACATCCTTCCTAGAACTCTTTTGTGATTGGGCAAAACTATGTCCCTTCTCTCCTTTTGGATTGGATATTGTTTCACAAGAGTTGACCACTGAGAATAAATATCATCAGCTAGGTAGTATCCCTTGTTGTACTGGTGGCCATTGATCTCAAAGTTGACCTCTAGGCAATGGCCTTCTGCAAGCCTTGCGAACACTGGAGAATGCTGAAGCACGTTGATGTCATTGTGAGAACCAGCCACGCCGAAAAAGAGTGCCAAATTCAAAGATCTTGTGAAGCCACTGATTCTAGTATTACAGCGCAACCTTTCACATGCCCCTTGTACTGCCCGTGCCAAGCAAATGGACATTTTTTTCCACTTCCAGTGCATACAATTTATGCAACCAAGCATTCCCGGAAAGCCTCTATCTGCATTGATCGCTAATAATCGGGTTGTATCTGCGGCATTGGTTCTTTCAGGTACTCAGGGCCAAACACTGCCACCACGGCCTTGCAGAACATGTACATTGATGAGAGGCATATGGACTCACTCATGCGGATGTACTCATCCACAAGATCACTAGGAATTCAGTATGCAAGCATAAGAATAGCCGTAGTGCATTTCTCATAAGAGGAGAAACCAACCTTACCAAGGGCTTCCTCCTTGCACTCAAAATAATCATCATATGATACCACTCCCTCCTAAATACGATTAAACACATGTCTCGCCATCTGGAAGCAGCACCAAAATAGATGGGATTTCAAGAGCAGGTTGCTCTAGAAGTAATTTGTGAAAAGCAGGCAATGACCGCTCTCTCAATTGTGGTTCAGCGATGGAACATGGCCCGAGATTGATCCCCTGAACCTCGGTCGCTGCCTAGCAATGTGGTCATTGACGACCAATGTAGCAACCACAAGATCCTCATCGTCCGGCGACGAATCATCTGATGAACAAAAAGTTGTTGAGAAAATACTCATCCCCACTATCCATCGAAACTTGCGAGCAAAGTGCCGAACACTTTGCGGTCATGGGGGAGACTGCTACTTGGTTTTCCTGCCCGTTACCGTATATCGGCAGTTATTTTGCGGGCCGGGCGATTATAGCAGCTCTGCTAGAGATGCTCTTACAAGTAAGCTAACTGTCCAGCCTCACTTTTGGTAGTAGCAGATTCATGTATCATTGTTCATTGACATCTGACGCTCAATTTGGCAAATCGAGTATAGTGTAACACCCACGATGCGGCTATATCTCCCACGTGTCGAAGCACGACTTAGAGGCATAACCTCATGGTGGTTTTGTCGCAAGAAGGGTCATCTTCACACAATCCCATGTAATGAACAAGAATGGGATAAAGAGAGTTGGCTTACAATCGCCACTTCACACAATACATAATTAAGATCATACATCATTCAAAATACACTCATAGTGTCACACCCTAGCTAGTTCATGCATTAGAGTGTTGCATCATGTCTATCCTTTCATCAGAAACTTGAAATGGGGATGTCAGAACCCCCAGCCCCCTCTGAAACCAACTAGGGTTTACTAAAAACTTTTTCAATGAACCTGAAATGCCCTTCTAAAATGTCCATCATTTTTGTCTTGGTTCAGAACCTCTGCCAAAAGTGTTGCACCATTTTCTAGGTCATCTTAGGGTCTTTGAATTAAATGATAAGTATTTGAATTTGGGCATTTAAAATTATATAAAATATTTCAAATGCTCAAATATTCCTAAACTGAAATGTTTCATGTTGGAAATATTCCAATTTTGGACCAGGAGCAGTTTGTGATTTTAGGAGTTGCCTAGGTATTTTTAATAATTCAACAAAGTTGCAGAAAAATAGAAAAAGAAAAAAACAGAAAGGAAGGACTTACCTGGCGCCTGCAACCCAGCCCACCTGCCGGCCTAGCCCAGCGCCGCGCCAGCGAGCTGCTTGCCGGCCAGGCAGGCAGGCAGGTGCTCGACGGCAAGCACCGCATGGGTGCCACGCACCTGCTCGCCGCCTCGCCGCTCCACTCGCCCGGCTAACGACGTGGATCGCTCCCCCTCGCTCTCCCGAACCCCCCAGACACCTCCTCTCCTCTCCAGCTCCTCTCCCTCGCTCTCCCACGCCGTGGCCGACGCCACCGCCGCCGTGCCTATGCCGTAGACGCGCTCTCCGTCAACCCCACGCCGCGCCACCGTGTCCATGAGCTCCGCCGCCGTCCACTTCGTCGAGCTAACCGAGCCCCGCGTGCTCGTGAGGCCCGAGTCCACCGCTCCGACCTCGCCCGAGTCCGCCGTCGCCGGAGATACCCTTCAACGCCGTCGCCGCATCAGCTCATCCCCGACCCCGCCGGTGGCCTCTATGGGTGCTCTGTGAGCCTAGCTACCCCTCCTACCCTTCCTCTCTCGCCCCCGAGCCATGTAGCCACTGCACGAAGATCACCCGCCGCGGATCTCGTCGCCGACGTGCTCCCGGCCATCCTCCGGCCACCTCACGGTGTCCAACGCACTCACCACTTTGCGTTGAGTCCAACCGTGCACTCCCCGCACCTCACCGCACACCCTAGCTCCAAGTTCGCCTTCACCCGAACTCCGGTGACCGCCTAGGTCGTCGCCGGCGCCAACTCCGGCCACCCCGACCTCAACTCGCTCCACCAAGAGATGCGGTTCATCCCCAGCTCCACGTAGATGCCTTCCGCGCCCCATTTGGTGGCCGGAACGGCCAAAACCACTTCCGCCGCCGCGTCGGGCTCGCCGGCGGCTAAACGCCGGTGCAGCCGTTTTGACTTTGACCACGGGTGGGCCCCGGTTGACTCTGTTGAGTCAATGACAGGTGGGGCCCCCTTCTGCTAATTATCCAGATTAGTTTAAACTAAATTAAATTGGTTAATTATCCACTGACACCCTGGACCCACTGGTCAGTTTGACCTGGGCCGGTCTGTTGACTTGCTGAGGTCAGCATGACCTCATGCTGACGCAGTAAACCTTTTCTGGAATTAAAATAAATCTAAAATGATTTTTAAATTCCAGAAATTGTTGCAAACTTCAAAAATTCATATAAATTCAACCGTAGCTCCAAATCAAACAAATTATATATGAAAAATGATCAGAAAAATCCAATCTATCCATATGTACTAGTTTCATGCATGTTTAAACAAACTAACTTGAGGTTTAGTGCAGAACAAGATAAAACACTTTAAAGGGCCATTTATGAGCTTGAAATTTGAATCTTTGGTTCAAATTGATTCAAACCCATCTGGTTTTAGTTGCATTAGCCCAACACACTCATATTGCCATGTTTCATGCATGCATTATATTGTCGCACATTGTTTGGTGATAGTTGTGTATCGGTGTTCTTTGCGGCAGGTTCTGCCTCCGAGGAGTACCGTGATTACCCTAGCGAAGAACCGTATCCGTGCATCGATCCATCAGGCAAGCAACCAACCATTTGATCATATCGATACAATCCCATGTTCTCGCTCTTGCTCTCTTTTACTGCATTAAGACAACGCGTTTCAAACTGCTGTGTGCTACGGTAATTGAACCCATTTCCTCTGCATGACCTG